AAAGATTTTCTATGGGGTTGAGATCTGGAAACTGGCTAGGCCACTCCAGGACCTTGAAATGCTTCTTACGAAGCCACTCCTTCGTTGCCCGGGCGGTGTGTTTGGGATCATTGTCATGCTGAAAGACCCAGCCACGTTTCATCTTCAATGCCCTTGCTGATGGAAGGAGGTTTTCACTCAAAATCTCACGATACATGGCCTCATTCATTCTTTCCTTTACACGGATCAGTCGTCCTGGTCCCTTTGCAGAAAAACAGCCCCAAAGCAAGATGTTTCCACCCCCATGCTTCACAGTAGGTATGGTGTTCTTTGGATGCAACTCAGCATTCTTTGTCCTCCAAACACGACGAGTTGAGTTTTACCAAAAAGTTATATTTTGGTTTCATCTGACCATATGACATTCTCCCAATCCTCTTCTGGATCATCCAAATGCACTCTAGCAAACTTCAGACGGGCCTGGACATGTACTGGCTTAAGCAGGGGGACACGTCTGGCACTGCAGGATTTGAGTCCCTGGCGGCTTAGTGTGTTACTGATGGTAGGCTTTGTTACTTTGGTCCCAGCTCTCTGCAGGTCATTCACTAGGTCCCCCCGTGTGGTTCTGGGATTTTTGCTCACCGTTCTTGTGATCATTTTGACCCCACGGGGTGAGATCTTGCGTGGAGCCCCAGATCGAGGGAGATTATCAGTGGTCTTGTATGTCTTCCATTTCCTAATAATTGCTCCCACTGTTGATTTCTTCAAACCAAGCTGCTTACCTATTGCAGATTCAGTCTTCCCAGCCTGGTGCAGGTCTACAATTTTGTTTCTGGTGTCCTTTGACAGCTCTTTGGTCTTGGCCATAGTGGAGTTTGGAGTGTGACTGTTTGAGGTTGTGGACAGGTGTCTTTTATACTGATAACAAGTTCAAACAGGTGCCATTAATACAGGTAACGAGTGGAGGACAGAGGAGCCTCTTAAAGAAGAAGTTACAGGTCTGTGAGAGCCAGAAATCTTGCTTGTTTGTAGGTGACCAAATACTTATTTTCCACCATAATTTGCAAATAAATTCATTAAAAATCCTACAATGTGATTTTCTGGAGAGAAAAAATCTCAATGTCTGTCATAGTTGACGTGTACCTATGATGAAAATTACAGGCCTCTCTCATCTTTTTAAGTGGGAGAACTTGCACAATTGGTGGCTGACTAAATACTTTCCCCCCCCATTGTATCTGTGTATGCAAAGGTGAACATTTGCTACATGCTTATGATGTGAAAGTCATCCTACACTGAACAAAAATATAAACTCAACATGCAACAATTTCAAAGACGTAACCGTAAAATATATATGTATTTCACTTTATTATTTTCCCCTAAGCCTACCACCCATCCCCTAATTGGTGTTTACTCCAAAGATTTGACTTTGTTACAGTTCATATAAGAAAATCAGTCAATTGATAAATTCATTAGGCCCTAATCTATGGATGTCACATGACTGGGAATACAGATATGCATCTGTTGGTCACAGATACCTCGTGCAGCACGACACATCTACTTCGCATAGAGTTGATCAGGCTGTTGATTGTGGCCTGTAGAATGTTGTCCCACTCTTTTTCAATGGCTGTGCAAAGTTGCTGGATATTGGCGGGAACTGGAACATGCTGTCGTACACGTCGATCCAGGGCATCCCAAACATGCTCAATGGGTGACATGTCTGGTGAGTATGCAGGCCATGGAAGAACTGGGACATTTTCAGCTTCCAGGAATTGTGTATAGATCCTTGCGACATGGGGCCGTGCATTATCATGCTGAAACATGAGGTGATGGCCGCGGATGAATGACATGACAATGGGCCTCAGGATCTCGCCACGGTATCTGTGCATTAAAATTGCAATTGTGTTCGTTGTCCGTACCATAAGCCCACTGCCACCATGGGGCACTCTGTTCACAACGTTGACATCAGAAAACCGCTAGCCCACTCGACGCCATACACGCTGTCTGCCATCTGCCCGGTCCAGTTGAAATTGTGATTCAGACATGAAAAGCACACTTCTCCAGCCTGACAGTGGCCATTGAAGATGAGCAGTAGCCCATTGAAGTCGGTTACGTTTATATTTTTGTTCAGTATATAACATTACTCACTTTAGGCTGCGCTTTTCAGAAGATGTGACACTAGATAACTTGAACTGAAGGCCAAATAGACTGCAGTAACTATTACTTTGGAGGAACTGTACGCCTTACCTCAGGCTAAACCACAAAACCATAGGCAATACAATGCAAGGCAAACAAAGTTGACCTGATATGAAGCTACTTAAAGGGATACTTTGGGATTTTGGCAATGAGGCCCTTAACCTACTTCCCCATAGTCAGATGAACTTGTGGATACCATTTGTATGTTTGTGTCCAGTATGAAGGAATTTAGAGGTAGTTTCGCGAGCCAATGCTAAATAGCATTAGCACAATGACTGGAAGTCTATGGGTAGGGTATCTGCTAGCTAGCAGCTACTAGCAGATACCCATTGACTTCTAGTCATTGCGCTAAAGGTAGTTAGCATTGGCTCGCAAAACTACCTCTAAATTCCTTCATACAGAGACATGAAAATGGTATCCACTAGTTCATCTGACTCTGGGGAAGTAGATTAAGGGCCTCATTGCCAAGTATCCCTTTAAACAGCAGCCAGGGGCTATGCAGTGGGGTTACACACACAAGCGGTTGATTTGTTGCACACAGCCTATGCTGACTACACAGTCTGCTGTTCCTAAAAAGGAACTAACCCCAGGACTAGGTCCCGACACAGTAGCAATGGGTATCATTTCCCTTAGCAACTACATGAAAACATACACTGAGTATACATTAAGAACAACTGCTCTTTCCATGACAGACTGACCAGGGGAAATTTAAGATCCCTTATTGATGTCACTTGTTAAATCCACTTCAAATCAGTGTAGATGAAGGGGAGGAGACAGGTTAAAGAAGGATTTTTAAGCCTTGAGACAGGGATTGTGCATGTGTGCCATTCAGAGGGTGAATGGGCAAGACAAAAAATTTAAGTGCCTTTGAACAAGCTATGGTAGTAGGTGCCAGGCGCAACGGTTTGTGAACATCAACATTTTAGTCATTTAGCAGACACTCTTATCCAGAGCGACTTACAGTTAGTGAGTGCATACATTTTCATACTGGCCCCCATTGGGAAACGAACCCACAAACCTGGCGTTGCAAGCGCCATGCTCTACCAACTGAGCTACTGGGTTTTTCCTCGCTCAACAGTTTCCCGTGTGTATCAAGAATGGTCCACCACCAAAAGGAAATCCAGCCAACTTGATAAAACTATGGAGTCAACATTGGAGTCAACATGGGCCAGCATCCCTGTGGAACGCTTTCGACACCTTGTAGAGTCCATGCCCCAACGAATTGAGGCTGTTTTGAGGGCAAAAAGGGGTGGGGGGATGGGTGCAAGTCAATATTAGTAAGGTGTTCCCAATGTTTGGTATACTCAATGTATTTCCCCATTTTCAACATGGAGAAGCCCCGGACCCAGGTCACCCCTAGAACCTTGTTTAGCTATGCTCTAATGAGGGAACCGCAGAGGGAATGCTTACATTGCAGATACAACCATGTCAACATGTAAGGCAACACTTTTGCATACATGCACATTTTGCATAAGTGCACGACGTGACAAGTGCTATGGCTTAAAAGTAAATACCAAAGAATAACTTTGGCATTTGGTATACCTCCTTGACTTACACCAGCAGCAGAGAGGGAGTTCACCTGCTGTAGGCTAGTCTGGATCAGGTCAAGCAGGTTGTGTGAGGATGATAATGAATCACCCAAGGACTTAGCCCACTTGTCTGTCTGCTGAGGATTAACTGAGCACTAAACAGACATTGTGCACAGTGTTCATAACGCACTTTTTCATAATAATAATAATAATTTTTATTTGGGGGGTGCTTATATTTGTCCTGTTACTCACAAGTGTGTAATGGAAATGTGTTTTATGCATATCCCAACTCGCCGAGACACCCGCAGGGAGTTGGGTCACAGCCAGGGTCACTATTGTCTAGCGGCCCTGGAGCAATTAGGGTCAAGCGCCTTGTTCAAGGGCACAGCGACAGATTCTTCACCTTGTCAGCTTTGGGATTTGAACTAGCGACCTTTCAATTACTGGCCCATCGCTTTAACCTTGAGGCTACCTGCAACCACGTTTATTGATGTTGTTTATATATAGAATTTCTCAAAATCCAATGGTTAAAGAGCATAAGACTTTACAAGGCTGATATTCTGAGTTTTAAAAAAAGCTTTTCAAAGCTAGTCAGATTAGGCTTGCATTTCAAGGGTTGTCTTTTCAACTTGGACGGCAGGATGTTAAACCTTGTTAAATGAAATAGAGGATCACTCCTTTTTATGGGTAGAAAAAAAAAGAACAAGAAAGAAATTCTGCGAGCTCACCACTATAAATTACCAGGAATTCAGCTCAAAAAATACTTTTTACATGTCATGAGTTTCCACACGTTCACACCCAATTCCATCCCTGCTCCTTTTAATTGGCAATGGCTAAACTTTTTTTTGTCAACTGCATAACCTACCAATTACACACAGTGAACATACACCACACTTGATTTACCTTATATAATGTGCCATCTGTTGGTTGGTTGATACAAACGAATATTTGCTATGGTTATTTCAAATGTATTTAGACTCAAATTCAACACTTTCAAATTGTCAACTCGCATAACATAATTTGACATTACATTAATAAAATATTTAAAAAAAACAAATGCTATTTTTTTGATTAGCTAAGACATTGAAAACAATAATTACAACCTTTGATTGTCGTATACACTTTAAAAAAGATTGCTACACCAAGGAATTACAAAAGCTAAAATACCTGTCTTTAAAACATGTATTTACTTTAAAAACCCTATACTACTGCAATTGTACATATGTTGATTAAAACCATAAAATCTATTAAAGTTATAAAAGGCATTAATAGCCTGTAAATACATCAGCTCCCATTACTACCTCAACATAGCTGAAGAAAGGGGAACAGTCAGTATGACTTGTTAGTATCTTTGGCACTTTAAATCCCCACATACAATAAGAAAATGTCTGAGTATTCTCTCTAGAAGTCTACATTGAGCCACTGTTTCCACCAGTAGTCACCACCTTCCATGTCTTGGACATAAATTATCAGATAGCAGTATATTGTTCTTTCCATGTTTTATACTATACCGGTCAATGTTTTTGTTCCCATGGCCAATGACTCCACAAGTAATTAGAATACTATAACTACGTCCGCAGGGAGGATAACTCAAGGCCGTCTCGTTTTGTCTATTCAGTGTTATCAGGCCTCTTACGGTCTCTCAGTAAGTTGCTTCGTCCATGTTGTCGTCACTGTCCCCTCCAAACTCCTCTCCGTTTTCAAAGTAAGACATGATGTAGTCGGTATCCTGGAACACAGATGAGAAGCAGCATTTCCGTTAGGAAAAACTTGTGCCGGTCAAATGTAAGACCAGATTTTAATTTGCCAGAGTGCCTGCCCACTGCCGATTGACACCACATGTGGAATCGAGTCAATTGCAAATTATTATTGAGCTATGCAAGGAGAAATGATAGCCTACCAAGTGAACAATGGCTCCATGCACATCTCCCCCGGTCCACTGGCTTGTCAACATCATCTTTTTCAGTCTCGCTTCATTTTCCCACTTGTCTGTGCCTCCTTGGTATAGTAGCTAGCTAGTTTGATTTGCGCTGTTTTTAGCATGTTTGACATAGCTATTCAACCATACATTAGAGGAAGAAGGCATCTTACTTCATCTAAATACTCCTCCTTTGTGAACTTCTATGACATTTCTGTCAGTACACTTTTGGGGAGATTAATCTAGCAAAACATCAAAGAACACTTATGGCCTGCGTAAATACAGCAGTGTCTGTCACAAACTCAATGGCACGGGAAACTTTGAAGGCCGGACCCATTTGATAGAATGTGGCAAATTCGATAGCTAGAGCGCTAGCTCAAGACAAACAGGAACAGTCGACAGATGACTGAAATACAACCTGAACCAATCTCCATGCATTGCCATGGTGACTTATAGAATATATGTATTTTCATCAGGATATTTTATGTTGGCCAATGTGTCCGGCAATGTTTTTATTTTCGTTTATCGACCAAAAGATGGCAATTACCAGCTAACAGACTTCTGATGAGAAGGTAGGGATTTTATATAGTGTATGAGTAGCTATTACGATAAATGAGCGCCGTTAGCATTTAACTGCCATTTTACAAATTTTTTACCACTAAATCCCTGACCATAACAATCAGGTTCAAAGAGGGAACAGGTACAAAATGTGACGGGACTTATCAGTCGCCATTACCCCTTACCTCTTCAAAGTCTTCCTCATAGTCCTCTTCATCTGCCTGTTCTTCTTCCTCGTTCGTCTTCTTTTTCTCCTCGTCCTCCTCTTCCTCTGAATTTACCGCCTCTTCTTTCTTTTCGAGATTCTGAAGTGTGAGTTTCCAAGAAACATCAAAACCAGGGCAGGGTGTATGCAAATGAGCCCCTAATTTGGAGTAACTAAAAGGTTTATATTTCTGATCTCTAGTCTCCTTTCGAAGAAAGGTTAGTCGTTTCTGTAATATCCTACCTCTAGCTTGGTGAGAATCTCCTCTTTTCCCACAAGAGGTTTCTTTGGCCGTTTAACTTGAGTTGTAGGTCCTAGAAGAGAAGAATGGAACATGAAGGTTAGCCCAAAAGTAAGTAAATAAAAAAAGGAGAACTGACATGGCAACAAATGGCGCAGGACAGAAGCACGGCTGTAACTACATGAGGACACTGAGGTCTTCGTAAATATTTTATATTAAAATATAGATATACAGTACCAGTCAAAAGTTTGGACACACCTACTCATTCCAGAGTTTTTCTATTTTCTACTATTTTCTACATAATAATAATAATAGTGAAGACATCAAAACTATGAAATAACACAAGCTTCCGTCCTCCTCTTGGTACATTGACTTCAATACAAAACTTAGGAGGTTCTTGGTTCTCACCCCCTTCCATAGGACTACACAGTAATTTTGACAACTTCCGGAGAATGTCCTCCAACCTATCAGAGCTCTTGTAGCATGAACTGACATGTTGTCCACCCAATCAAAGGATCAGAGAATGAATCTACATTTTACATTTACATTTTTAGTCATTTAGCAGACGTTGTTCTCCAGAGTGACTTACAGTTAGTGAGTGCATACATTTTCATCTAGTACTGAAAGCATAAGCTACAGCTAGCTAGCACTGCAGTGCATAAAATATGGTGAGTAGTTGACTCAAAATGAGAGAACGACAATAGTTGAACGGTTTTGAGGAGAAGCAAGAGAGAGAGATGTCATTTTTTCACTTTCACTTACTTAGCTAGCAAATGCAGCTGTCTAGTTTAGTTACTCAAACACCCTGCTCAAACAGAGGGATACTATGTTAGCTAGCTGGCTATGACTTTCCAACACAACACTGGAACTCTTCCAAGTCAAGGTAAGCTTTTGGTTTTATAAATGTATTGCCACCGGGGCCCGCCGGTGTAACTGCTTACTGACTATACACTGTAACGTTACTGCATGATTGTAGCGGGTTTACTAACGCATTAGTTCTATTAGCTATGCTGACTAGGACGTTACTTTAGCTAATATGGGGACAACGATGTAGGCTGTGTGTAGCGGTTATGACATAGTTTGGCTTGGAAAGGTTTATTTGCCTGTTCACATACAGCTGATGTGTTGTTCATTGAAGTCCACAAAAAACGGAAAAGGTGAGAGGAGGAGAGTGCTGCTATGAAAGAGTGTGCAAGGCGGTATTGGATGTGTCACTCGTTGTCCATGTGTCACTGTCTGTCATCTCAAATGTTTTCATGCTAATGTCCACCCTCATCATAAACGGCACTGACCGCCACATATACAGTACCAGTCAAAAGTTTGGACACACCTACTCATTCAAGGGTTTTTCTTTATTTGTACTATTTTCTACATTGTAGAATAATAGTGAAGACATCAAAACTATGAAATAACACATATGGAATCATGTAGTAACCAAAAAAGTATTAAACAAATCAAAATATATTTTATATTTGAGATTCTTCAAATAGCCACCCTTTGCCTTGATGACAGCTTTGCACACTCTTGGCATTCTCTCAACCAGCTTCATGAGGTAGTCACCTGGAATGCATTTCAATTTACAGGTGTGCCTTCTTAAAAGTTAATTTGTGGAATTTCTTTCCTTCTTAATGCGTTTGAGCCAATCAGTTGTGTTGTGACAAGGTAGGGGGGGTATACAGTTCTAAAAATGTCATACGTTTGTGTTTCGTCGCTGATGCTATGTGTCAGTGTGAATAATTTCTCATATTTCCCCCCTTTCAGGGGTATAATGTTACAATTGTATAGCTAATAGGCTATGAATTTGTAGATCAACTGAGTTAAATGAACCTACAGCAGCCAAGGTGATAATGGCTGGGATCATTTTTGCTGTTCTCCAAATAGCATTTGAACGTTATTTTTATTGTATAGAAATGCAGTAAATGTTTCGGACCTCACTTAAACTCAAAACCTGGTTAGGGCCTGGACAGAAGGGGTTGGAATCGGTTCAATAGTGGCATATGTTTTGCAAGGGATTCAAAGGCCAAAGTAAATAGCTAAGAAAATATGTAAATGAAATTTCACTGATTGAGTATCTGAGAAAGAAATCTCTTAATTGAAAACAATACATGGCTTACACAAAGTTTGAATTCCACACACAAGTCCTTGAGACAAAGTACTCACTTTTACCCTGAGGTTTTCTCACTTTAATGCAAAGCTCTTTAGGCAATCTGCTCCAGTCTGAAACATAACCATAAAAAAAGAGAAACACGTTAACATAGAAAAATACGCATGACATAAAACACACCAGAAATGCATCACATTCAAACTGTGGAATAATTACACCCAGCCCAAGACTAAAAGTCAGACTAGTTCAGACCAGAAATGGATTTGTTGTCTGGCACCATCTGCTGGACATATACCAACACTGCATCAAAAGAAACCACTTCAGAAACAGGACTGACTCAGTCTGGCTAGGGGTTGCCACTAAAGAATACTAGCAGTAGGTAAGTGGTACAGGGAACTAAATAGTTCATAAAAGAGACAACTGTTCTGTGATCAGTTGGGTGCAGATTCTAACCCCCAGTATATCCACAAACCAGCCCCAGCCAATCGTCACGCACCTGGGCTCCACTCGATGGTGCTGTCCTTGGGCTCTCCACTCTGGTACTTATCAGAATAGCGATCGACATCTACTAGGGAAACAGCAGCGAGATTATAACTGACAATTTCCTATTCATATAATACCAGCCAGGGAAAACAAGTAGAACACTCAATTGCAAAACCTTCTATACCATACCATTCGTCTGACATAACAGCCATTATAATTGGGTACTTTTACATGCATTCAATAATACGATTATTGTGAATACTCTGATTAATATAATAGTTTGATTTAAACATTTACATGTTTTGCCCTTACATGGACAGCTTATAATCAGGCTACTAATGGGACTTTGAAAAATGTAGAACTTTGCCAATCAAAATAAACATTCTATCACAGAGATGATATAATCTTTGGGAAGCCTATTTGATTATGACAAAGTTTGTATGTGAAAACTACTTCACTTCACTCAAGCCAACAAATGACATAACAAATGCTTGCAACATTATTTAAAAGTTTACCAATAACATTAACCACACATAACTTTGGAAACTAGCTCAATCACAGTTAATAACATTCTATGATTTCTCCACCCCTTAAACTGAGACTCTGCGATATGACGTTGCCACAAGCAGCACCGCAGATGTTGCAGATGAGCGCGATGCAAGACGATGCACTCACCGAGTATCATAGAGTATCAGTGCATGTGCACTTCAATCGCTACATTTACATTTACATTTTAGTCATTTAGCAGACGCTCTTATCCAGAGCGACTTATAGTTAGTGAGTGCATACATAATTTTTTTCATACTGGCCCCCCATGGGAATCGAACCCACAACCCTGGCATTGCAAACGCCATCCCTGCCGGCCAAACCCTCCCCTACCTTGGACGACGCTGGCCAATTGTGCGCCGCCCCATGGGTCTCCCGGTCGCGGCCAGCTACGACAGAGCCTGGATTCGAACCAGGATCTCTAGTGGCACAGTTAGCACTGCGATGCAGTGCCTTAGACCACTGCGCCACTCGCTACAACGTGATAGCTATGGGACCAAAACGGCAGAGCAGTTTAGCCTCACGCTTAGTTGTTGTGGAAATCGGCCTTATATTGCCATTTGCTTTGTGCATCGCTTACTCTACCTCTTTTGGGAGCGGCCCGTCTGATGTAGAAGGGCAGGGTCTTGGTGGCGACCCTCATCTCCTGTTTCAGAGCCAGCATGTACTCCACCTCATCTCCTGTCTGCAGGGGCACAGGCTGGGCTGGCATGGGCTGAGGTTAAAGAGAGAGAACAGATCAGGAGACTGGGTTGTTATAGCGCCACAACACTAGCACTAAGCAAACACGTTACTACATTTAAATTACCATACAGTACTTCATAATACTGCAACCCGTTTAATGGATGGTAGGCTATATAATGTGTCTAAACCAGACAGTGTCCATACAAATCATATTGTACATGTACCTCAGAGAGAAAAATGCCTAGAAGAGAAAAACAAAACATTTAGCCATTACGTTACTAGCAATATTATATAACTGTCATTCTTTTAATTTCGTGATGCTCAAGAGCACTATAAGCAATTGTGGCAAGGTGAGTCCAGACTGTGTTACAATGTGCACACTCACAGGGAAGAGGGGTGAGGGCTTAAATGTGGTGGGGGGAAGGCTGTCTCCCCTTCCTATGCCCACGTCCTCCAGGTTGAAGGTCATCTGACCCCTTCCACGACCCCTGCCTCTTCCAGCCATGGGGATGAGTATGTAGCTAAATGCTGAAAGAATCGTGAAAGAAAACAGATAATAGACATTGCCTAACAAACACAAATTGGAACCTATTATTGTGGATATCTAACTAGCATTTGAGAGGGGGCTCCCAACACTAGGCCCCCAATTTACAGATAACTAGTAACTAGCTAGCTAGGTAGCTAGCACTCATTGACCACATGGAAGTCCATACAGAATACGATAGCTAACTAGCTATCGCATTTCACCCTGGCCCTACTGACTTTTCCGTATGGTCTTGGGTTCTCGAGAGTTAATTTCACACATGATTACACCACATCCTTAGCAAGCAAAAATATCTAGCTTCAGTAGCTAGCTATGAAATTTGAACTGCCGGCCAGTGACCTCTCCAGTGCAGCATTGTGCTTGTTTGCATAGCCAGCTAGCTAGTATTGGCTGGCAAGCAAGCTATATTTCGCTGCTACGGGTCATTCTATGACATTATACTTTTTTACGTACCTACTACGTGTCAGTTGAGTTCGTGAAATATAGAGCCAAGCCCTGCAACGTACAGTATAAAAATCAAGCCCAACAGAATCCAACCCAAATTTCTTGAATAGCTAGCTAACTTAGTAGTAACGTTAGAAATGCTGCAGACTGATGAGTCCAAACCAGATCAACTGGCTGATAGCGATGTAGCCAACGTTAGCTAGCTGACGATTAAGCTTGCAGATTGAGCAGTCTATAATACGTATGCTGCTTTTCCTCGACACATATATAGTTTATTATACTGTAGAATATGACAAATGTTTTAGGTGTAAGCCCACACGTGCACAGACTGCCGGATGTTTTCAACTGGAGTCCACGTGTGTTCCGTCGGCAATGAATGTCTCAGGAAACATATTCTGTGCGCAATAGTTCTGCCCTACTGTCTGTACTGATATAACGTTCGAATAATTGTTGCTAATTTAATCTTCCATAATACCATTTCCCCACAAAAATGTGGTAGTGTTTTTGAGCAGTTGTGGTGAGCCACATAATATAAAAAACAAAACAGCTCACAACATATTGATGCTCCCCAAAATAGACCTACCAGTGCTGCCACCAGGTCGCGCTATTATTCCTTACGTTTTAAGATTTTGGATTGTTTGACTGTCAGTTGCACAACTGAATGCAGTCAACCGAAATACGTCTTCAGCATTTAACCCAACCCCTCTTAATCAGGTGTGTTGTGTTTAGTTTGGAGTGCATTTTAGATTTGCATGTAAGCTTTGTGCTTGTGTTGATGTAAAGGTTAGCCTCTTGAATGGCATGTAAATGCCAAATTATTATTTTACACATCTTCCCCTATAGGAACTTCACAGGATTTTTTAAAATGTAGAACACAGTCACACAATCCAGAAGTAAATCGTTCCATCCTTTATTAAACATAGCTTGCAAGAGATAAATATTACAAAGTTATTTCCTCCAAAATTAGCTTATTTTTTCAGTCAATGCATAATCGTTATTAATCAACTGGCAGTATTCAAACAGCATTAATATTTTTTTATTTTATTTTTTCTTTGAAGACAGTTAAATATCAAGTATGTGCAAAAGGTCAGGATTTATATTTGAAATAAAAATTAAACAAAAAATGGCCTTTATTTTCTAGGATAAAAATTAATTTAATATTTTCACCCGTTCCCCAGATGATACAGATTGATAATGACTCCATGTCATTTTTTCTCTCACAAATGTAATTTACAACAACATTATGCAATGTTCAAACTGAGGAATTGCAGTTCATTTTATATGTATAAAAGAAAAACTTCAGCATTTTCACTTCAAATGTAGAAAATTATTTGCAATGAATACCCCCCTCCCTCCCCTTCAAAAAGTTCCCTGTATTTCCAACAATAACGAATATGCCAAGAGTAAATGAAATGATACCAATAAAATAACATAATACATTTGTATAGCCAGGAAATGTGATAAATCCTCCATAAGAATAACATCACGATTAGTAAACCCCATAACTACAACACTGTCTTGATGGGCAGCTTTATCTGCCTTAGAATGTTTTAGACATAACCCTATTGTTGAACTCACTTATTTGGCAGTCAGTTTGAATATTGTCAGTTTGATAACTCCATGAAAATTCCCCCAAAACAGATGTTGACCAGAACAAAGGCGATAAGGGCAAGATTTCTCTAATCTCCAACAGCTCCTAGCACACTAGATTTTAAAAAGGTAAAAACAAATACATGTATATTTTCCAATGGAAAACATGAGCATTGCAACATGCCATATTTTCATATTCATAGAAATATGGAAGAAAGAAAAGGAAATGTAATTTTTATACCTGTCATTTCAGACATGGGTAGCCCTGTAGTTCAATACAGAAATTGAAATCAGCAAAACACAGAGCTATGTTTCAGAGTGAGATCTGTAGATTTGATGACGACTCTGGGGTAATACTGTCTGTCAGTGGTTTGATCCATGCCACATCCTCACAAATGAAGTCTGCATGGGTTCATCCAAAGTAAGAAATACACTGAACAGTGTTGAGTTTCTAACAGAACATACATACAACAAACATACGTGAACCTGACATTATTCTTCACGCTCGAAGCCTGTGGAATGGATTCAAACTCCATCAGAACAATGATCACTTTTCCAGCAAACACTACTCACTACAAAAAAAAACGTACATTCAAGAAGAAAATGTGTCTAAAAGAAAGAATAATAATCCCATACATTTTGCACATTTGTTACACAATAATACACAGAGATCACAAAACGAAATGACAAGCTTCACTATATTCATGGCTTTTTGTTTGCTTTTCTACACAATATACCATTTTATTTTTTTATCGAAGGGAGAAAAAAAGCTTATGTACAATAAGTCATTATTACTTCTGACCTAGCAAATATCATGGAATTTTTATTTCAGTCAATAAAATGTTTTGTTTGATTAAATTTGATTTTTTTTTTCTTGAAAACGTAAAACATTACAAACAAAACAACAAAAATTACTTAATTGAGACATCAGAAATAGGACAATTAAAAACCCTAAAACATTAGATAATTCAAAAAAAGATTGTGGTTGAAATTACAAAGGTGTGTGGATGCGTCTATTACAGCCTGCAAGAGAGAACAAGAGAGAGAAATGAGCTTCAATATACAAGTCCAGCTTCATAGCAAAAGGACATAGAAAAACGAGACAGCCGAATCAAACATATGAGGGGGTGGGAAAGAAAATGTACCCCGACATAAAAAAATAAAAATGTCATGACATCCTATTCTAACCAACCACAAAAGAGGGAATTGATTGACAATTGTATAAGCAACAAAAAACAAATCTCTTCTGAATGTAAACTTCCATTCACATCTACATATTGCACCTGCCAATCAAACCAAAGGTAGTTTCATAAATTACTTGGTGTGTGTTCAGTATAAATAACTTACGAGAACTAGGAAAGGGGACTTGAGATTTCATAGGCCGCCGCATTAGTGCACTTGACTTGATACACCAAATCTGTGTATCTAGTGGGCAGAGCTTGCACCCAATTTAAACCTAGTCTGCTTTAGGACTAAATGTAAGCCCCTGTCATGTCAGGCCTGCTAAACTGCGTACACCCAATGATAGTAGAGTGTTAACTATCATGAGATTGATCCAATCAGTTGATTACCCCATTTCAAATAATCCATCTTGATTGGTTCAGCTCCTCATAGCTTCCACTCAAACAGTGTTTGTAATGCCATAATCTCTCAGCCAAACCTTACAGGTTGTCAGTGCGTAAGAGGGTGACAAACCCCAAACTCCACAACTCTTTCTTGAGGCCAGTGAACAATACAGGTGGGACATTTTTAAGTGCCAATATTATTGCAGTGTTGCCATGGATCTTTCCATGGTCCTTTGGCTTTACTTAAGTATTTCTATGGCCATCAGGATGGTGATGTGCCCTAACCCCTGATTCTACAACCTACTTGACCAAATACTGACATAATACGCTGTTGAGCCAATGGCCTTCCAGAGCACATTTTTTACATCATTCAACGGTTGACCTAAACTCCTGATACAGTGAGACGTAAAATTTAAAATATGGTTTATAGCAGTTATAGCCGTAAATAATTCAACAATCTTCTAAAAGCCTGAAATAAAGACTGAAACCTGTGACGCTGAACCTAGCACAAACTAAAAGTCCTGTCTGATCTTCCCAACACTAGCCATAAACCCCCTATAGCTTCTACATGGATGCACTTGTAAATACTTAGTTCCTATGCCAGCCAGACAAACTCCAAATTAATTGAAGATCTGCTGGTCTACCTCTCTCTGAGTAATACTGCACATTGTCTGAACACTGCTTTAATGTATTTTATGACCTGTAGCAAACTTGGCTTAGCGAGTCTAGGCGACTTCAAAACCAAACCGAAAAACAAACAAACACAGAAAGTGCTGCTGGTGAAATGTGCGTGGCAGTGGTAACAGTGTTGACAGGTGTGAGAGACCATGCTCACATGACCGATGTCCCAAAGGTCAATGAGGGGCAAAAATTGACAAAAACTATTTGGTGTCACTGCCAGCGTTAACGAACCTGTTCAAATAATTGAAAAAGGTAACCAATTGAATGTCGTCTGATACAGTCCACATGAACACTCTGGACAATGGTCCCTCTCCCGACTCTCTCGTAGACAATCAGATGACATCCGCACCTTGGGGGACCTGTGAATTGTAACATTCTAATTATCTTTTTTAACTTTTTTTATTTATTTTATTCATAATAAGAAAAGTGCTCCTCGAGAATGAGGCATCTCGTGTGCATTGCCTGAACACGATGATTGATCAACGTCTCTCCCATTTTAAAGATAAATCCATATCAGTCTCCTTTCTCTCAAGCTTGCCATCGATACGTAATCCATATAGATATTTGAATAGTTTCAATCTGTTCACTACTTTTTGATAATTATCGTCTCCTGGGGCAAGTACCTCTGAGATACGCAGCCTTTTCTACAGAGACGCCGCAAAAAAACGAAAATGACAATCAAGAAACCCTACAACAAGAAAACAAAAAACGTGCCCCATGCCACCGCCACCTCAAGTCCTCACCATTTCCGTCACGGTACCACAAGGAACAGTTGGGTTTAGAAAAGGTTGAAGTCTCTGGACTTGAGGCATTGAGGGGCAATGAGGGATCTTGGGGGCAGCTTTCATGACCCCATTTTGAGGCCAGTGCCGAGCACCGAGATGGGACGATATGCCAGAATCCAAAATGGCTGCCACGCTCCTCCTCTCTGCAGGCCATGGCCTCCGCTGGTGACACGGCATGGATTTTTTTCCCAACCGCAAACACCAGTGGACTTTCCTGTGCTTAGTTCATTGATTTGTTTATCTATCCGCACCTTAGTGTGCACTTTGTGGATCCTGTCCTTGTTCTCGCTCCCATTAATACTGTGTCAAACTAAAATATTAATAGTGCTTCCTGGTTATGATCCATCATCTTTGCTGGTCCACTCAAAGCAGGGCAGTCAGTCATTGGACCAGTGTCCAGTTGGATCTGGTTCATTCCACATTATCTCCCTCTTACATAGCGGTATGCCCATCTATTTTGCTGCTTTAAAAATCTTGAAAATGAAAGAACCGTACATTTGGAGTGTAACAGGGGAGTAGCTAAAATAAAATTATGTGAAAAGAAAAACAAAGATATCATAAAGCAACCCTGCAACAGTACCCCCTACCTCCCCCCAAAATAAATAAAAATAAGGGTATGAACTGAAAGTGAGGCGCTCTACGAGGCATAAGAATAGAAAAGCTTAAGAGTAATAGTAACTGAATCGGTAACAGTAATCATAATAATAATAATAATAGTAACAACAGCAATAATAGTAGTAGAAATTATTTGAGAGTCTTCGAAATAATTTTGCTATAGTAAGAAAGTCGAGAAGATGCACTGACAGTTTGGTTGTCTTTTGTCTGGCTGATTGTGTCGTTTCTCAGGCTGATTGTGTAGTTTCTCATGGGTTAGTTTAGGTAGGCACACGGACAGGCACTGCATGCAATGGGGTTGGGGAGGTGGTAAAGTCTTTTTTTTTTTTTTAGGGCATGGTGGTGGGGGGTGCGGAAGGTGGCCCTTGGGGTGGGGATTGGGAGGGTGGGGACAAGGAGGGGGGTGGGGGGGTTCATTTCTGTCCGTTGATGGACTGTGATATGGAGCGTGGCGGGATCATGTCCAATAGGTACTCCCTCTGACGGTCTGCTAAGCTGGAGCCTTTGTTGGCCCCGACCCCTCCTTGGTTCAGGTAGGCAATGTTCAACCCTGAGAGAGAAGGAGAAAGAGAGAAATCAAGAATAATAGAGAGAAAGAGACCGAGAGAGTTCAAACAAGAGGTTGAGAGAACAAGGAAAGTTAAAAGGACAGGAAGAAACACAGAGGAAAAAGAGAGAGAGGAAGAAAGAGGAACACATTTAATAAATCCTTTGTCCCCACAACATATTTAAAAATGAACAATATTCCAGAGTCTGCTGTGTCTGTTTTGTCCACCAGGGTTCGGGTCAATTCCAATTTAAATTTAAATTCCAATGTAAAATTGAATTCAGTCATGAAGTGGAGAATTTACGTTGAATTCACTTACAATTACAACAATATTCAAGTTATAGAATTTGACTGTTTAAATTGTAATTCAATTGAAATTGTAAAACAAATATTTGTTTGAATTTAATATTTATACATTTCACAGTTAATGCACTTAGTATAAACATTTACTGCAGGATTTGTTAAAAAAATATTTCAACTTGGATTTCTATATGTCCAGTTTAGCTAGGCTGTCTGAACAGTGACATGATCAGCCTAACAGCCTGAGGGAATTTAATTTGATATTTGTGGAATTTGGATTATTTTTTATTTTTTTATAACCTAACATTGGAATTTAGAGGGATTGAATTCCCTCAGAATTCAAAGACTGACCTGGAATTTTAATTGAATGAAATCAAATTTACAGGGAGAGGGAATTTAATTATATAGAATGTAAATTGTTGAATTAACCCCAACCCTGCTGTCCACCTCATCTGAGATTAGATGTTTGTTAGACAATGATAGGTATGACAATTATTATTGAAATAATTATTTTATGTATGCTCTCTGTATGGCTATCTTTGTGAAAAATGTGTAAAGCTCATTGTTTCTCACTCTTACTCTTTCTTTGAATGCTAAACATTTGGGCAACACCTTCAGGTATTATGCATTATAATGCTGGTATAATGCATTGTAAGACTTGTCATAAGCACATATTACCCCCATATTATCATCATTATCTCATCATGATCCTGACTAAATTAAAAAGCCATTTGGAAGCAGTTAAAAATGTGCTACATAGAGAAACATAACTTATTATGAGTATTACAATATCACATTATAAAGGCTCACACATGCTCATTACATTTTAATCATTTAGAGACTTACAGAAGTGAGTGCAAAGATATTCATACTGGTCCCCCGTGGGAATCAGACCCACAACACTGACATTTGCAAGCGCCATGCTCTACCAACTGAGCCACACGTGACCAGTTATATACAGTGCATTCGGAAATTATTCAGACTTTTTCCACATTTTGTTATGTTACAGCCTTATTCTCAACTGGATTAAATAAAAACATTTCCTCATCAATCTACACACAATACCCCATAATGACAAAGCGAAAACAGAAATACCTTATTTACATAAGTATTCAGACCCTTTGCTAGGAGACTCGAAATTGAGCTCAGCTGCTTCCATTGATCATCCTTGAGATGTTTCTACAACTTGATTGGAGTCCTCCTGTGGTAAATTCAATTGATTGGACATGATTTGGAAAGGCACACACCTGTCTATATAAGGTCCCACAGTTGATAGTGCATGTCAGAGCAAAAACCAAGCCATGAGGTCAAAGGAATTGTCCGTAGAGCTCCGAGACAGGATTGTGTCAAAGCACAGATCTGGGGAAGGGTACCAAAAAAACGTCTGCAGCATTGAAGGTCCCCAAGAACACAGTGGCCTCCATCATTCTTAAATGGAAGAAGTTTGAACCACCAAGACTCTTCCTAGAGCTGGCCGCCCGGCCAAACTGAGCAATCGGGGGAGAAAGGCCTTGGTCAGGGAGGTGACCAAGAACCCGATGGTCACTCTGACAGAGCTCCAGAGTTCCTCTGTGGCGATGAGAGAACCTTCCAGAAGGACAACCATCTCTGCAGCACTCCACCAATCAGGCCTTTATGGTAGAGTGGTCACTCTTCAGTAGAAGGCACATGACAGCCCGCTTGGAAAGGCACCTAAAGGACTCTGACCATGAGAAACAAGATTCTCTGGTCTGATGAAACCAAGATTGAACTCTTTGGCCTGAATGCAAAGCGTCACGTCTGGAGGAAACCTGGCACCATCCCTACGGTAAAGCATGGTGGTGGCAGCATCATGCTGTAGGGATGTTTTTCAGCAGCAGGGACTGGCAGACTAGTCAGGATCGGGGGAAAGAGGAACGGAGCAAAGTACAGAGAGATCCTTGATGAAAACCTGCTCCTGAGCGCTCTGGACCTCAGACTGGGGCGAAGGTTCACTTTCCAACAGGACAATGACCCTAAGCACACAGCCAAGACAATGCAGGAGTGGCTTCAGGACAAGTCTCTGAATGTCCTTGAGTGGCCCAGCCAGAGCCCGGACTTGAACCCAATAGAACATCTCTGAAGAGACCTGAAAATCCAACCTGACAGAGCTTAAGAGGATCTGCAGAGAAGAATGGGAGAAACTCACAAAAAAAGGTGTGCCAAGTAGCGTTAAAATCCAAGAAGACTCGAGGCTGTAATCGCTGCCAAAGGTGCTTCAACAAAGTACTGAGTAAAGGGTCAGAACACTTATTTAAATGTGATATCAGTTTTTCATTTTAATAAATTAGCAAACATTTCTAAAAACCAGTTTTTGCTTTGTCATTATGGGGTATTGTGTGTTGATTGATGAGGGACACATTTTTTAAATTCATTTTAGAATAAGTCTAATGTAACAACATTTTGAAAAACTCAAGGGGTCTGAATACTTTCCCAATACACTGTATATACACAAGGGACCAGACTTATCACATGTAATATCATTATATCTGCAGGCTTTAGGCCTAAGTGAAGTGTTACCATAAGGGGTTCTCAAAAACCCACCGGGGATGTTGTAGATCTGGCGACGGCCATCATGCTGGATCCGACTGCTGCCACCGCCACCACTTGTGCCGCCACCTCCTCCTCCGCAGCGCTGCTTCCCCGTCATCCCCAGCAGGCCGCTGGCCACGGAGAGCTGGGAGGCCTGGGCGAAGTTGGAGAGGACACCCCTCGCCGAGCTGGAGAGACCCCGCTGCATGGAGGCCTGAGGCTGGGGAGCCTGAGGGAGCAGAGGGTGAGAGAGCGGTGGAGGAAATCAGTGACCTCCAGATACGTTGGTCCAGTCAAAACGGTTTTGGTAACAATGATTTAAAACATCATATGATACTGTGCCAGAGTACGATCTACAAATGCTGCAAACTATGGACTACACCCCAGATTTAAATGGGGCCTATAGGATAGTTGATTGAGGCATATAGCTGGATCTACGCAACAGATTGGGGTGGGCCAAGGACTAATCTCAGTATAAATTTTTAAAACTACTTTGACGTCTGATAACAGCCAACAAATTAAGGTTTGTCACTAAGGTTTCTTAGTGTAGGCCCGTTACCTGACGCAGGGCGTGATGTCGGATCATGGTCTCGGCCTTGCTGACGTTGGGAACAGTCGGTGCCGTGCTGGGGGAGAGGGCTGCCTGCTGCTGGAGCCTTTGCTCAATCTCCTGTTAAACACGAGGAGAGCGAGAGAGATAAGGGTTGAGACAATGAACAACGGATGGGAAGAAAAGGTTGGGACAGGAAGAGGGATGGAAACAGACAAGAAATTCAAGTACAAAAGGACATTCGCACACACACACACGCTCCTGTAAAAAAGCTTTTAACAGTCGGAGCATGTCAGTGGTCAAGTGGAAAAAGTCAATTGGTTCACTCCGACAGCTCAGGGCCCTAGAACATAATGAGGTCACACCCTCTGACAGCTGTCAAAAGAGGTCAGCCGCAAAATGTACTTATCGTTAATCACACATAGTTTGTAACATTCCTGCATACTAGTATATTTGACCTAACCCCGTTGTAAAGCCTGTTGTGCATCTCTTTAATCCATGCTTTATTAAACAGCTGACCTGCTCCTGCTGCAGGGCCTTGACGAATGCGTTCTTCAGCCTATTGGTGTGCTCCGCCTTCAGGGCCTTCTTCTGATTGGACGTCATGCACTGCTCGCAGAGGATACGCCCACCCTTCTCCTGCTTCCAGTGGGGGGTGAAGTCGATCCTGCACTGGGCGCAGAAGAAGGGCTCCATGTGTGACAGCGCCCCCCGCAGCTTACCTGATGAGAGAGGCAGGAGAGAGGCAGTTATTACAGGTTTTGGCTCTTAAATCAACATATTTGAGGGGTCAGTTTAAAGTTACTGTCCAGTGTTTCCATATTTCTATGAAATATTACCTAGAATTAATTACAATATGAGCAAATAGTTTCCCTTCAAATTTGTTTAATGAAGTATGTTAAAAAGCAGCTTTTATGTGTTGGAATGGTGTGGACATACACCAAAAGCAGAATGGTGTGGGCATATACCGGTCATTAAAAATATTCATGCGAGTAGACCCGGTGATTAACCAGCTAATCCTTAGGAGGATGACATCATCCTCTGAGGAAATAGCAAGCATTTTTTAAACAGTCTATTTGAGATACAAGTCTGAGGTGGGGGGTTTTTAAGTGTTGTTTTCCATCAATTTATGCTTTGCCCACAAATATGAGTATATGATGAGTTAACATTATTTGGGTATGAGTTAACAGAATATTAACTTTTAAAAGTTAGATTTTCACTGGACAGTTACTTTAAGCACGTTGAGGCGCAGAATCACTAATCTTGATCATATAATGAGAAGTTATTTGGGATGCAGTGTGATTTGTAGCGGTGCCTGTCCAGTGGCTCACCCTGGCTGTCGATGACGCTCTGCACCACCTCCTCCAGGCCCACCATGTAGATGAACTCGCTGTTGGCCGCCGACGGCAGGAAGTGCAGGAGTGGGGCCGGTGGCTTGGGCGGCGGGATCTCCAGCAGGGTCTTTTCCAGCTGTTTGCGCAAGGCCAGCTTGGCTGCCGCCTGGCTGCTGGCCTGGTCCGCCAGGGAACTCACGCCGGAGCTGCTGCCACCACCTGTGCCGCTCGACATGGTGGAAGGGCTGACAGCGCCCATCCCACTGCTGCCCATCCCCACGCCGGCCACGCCACCAGCCACCTGCATGTGGGCCAGGTTCATGTAGATTGCAGAGGAGCCCGAACGCTGGGACGCCACCACCTGCTGGCTGGTGGCCTGTGGTGCGTTCAACGCACAAGGGAAAAGGGGCACAGTGGAAAAACCGTGAGACAAGTTGAAGTGATTGCTATTATTCATACGGAAGGGTCCTCTGGATGGTCTTTATGACTTTTAAACATGCTCAATGAATGTAGTGGTATAAGGAATATGGTGGAAACTTCCTCCAGCCATGCTTGCACTGATCCAATGCTTTTAAATGCATGAAGGGGAGTGACCGAGTGGATACTCGTGGGTGAAGGGTAGAGAATCGGAATGCAACCAGAGTTTGCTGAAACGTGGAGAGCAGAGGGTTGGCACCATACCTGCTGGTAGCTGACGTTACTCATGCTGCCCGTGCTAGAGCGGTTCATGCCAGACTTGGAGGGTATTCTCTGGCCCTGCAGCTGGGACGGGTTGGGGGCGATGACCCTCTGTGACATCATCATCGGGGGCAGGGAGGCGTTAGCCCCCGACCTGATGACTGTGTGACCCTGTGGAGGGAGAAGAGGAAAGGTTAGAGGAAATCAAAACAGAAGAAGGGATGCATTATTATATGCCCAGCAGGGATGGAGGAGGAAGAGGGACAGAAAAGGGTGAGAAAGTGATAAAGAGAAGAGATGGTTAATAAAATGGGGAGAACCATGAGAGGGTAACAATTTAAAATTTGGATACAATTTAATTAATTCCGCAAATAAATTGACCAGGAATCCCCATTTGCTACACTGAGTGTGCCATTGAAATATAGGGAGCCAGTCAGCCACAAATGTAATGCTTCTGTTTATGGGTATATGTTGTACCGTTTGTAGTCACTAGAGGGGAATAGATACATACGTGGCCTTATCGTCACAGTTCAGACAGTCAATGTGAACAGCTTACATAAAAAGCTGACCTGACCAACCTATGTCCAATTCAAGGGATCATGGCTCAAAGCACTGTCTTCCATATATAGATGTAAGATATCAACCTAACCAGGAACCATATGCTTTCCAAAACACAAACATGATCCAAAGAGTAGTGAAATAGATTTGCCTAAGCATGCACACACAATTAGCATACAGTATAGATCCTATAGCGCTGGTATGTAATGCATTACAAGACATTCCAACTGAAGGAGCAATAATGCTCATGGAGCTGTGGATAGCAGGTTTGACTCTGACCAGGGGTGCAGGTTGAGTTCCAGTCAGGCTACTGCCAAAATCAATGCAATACACACAGACCGACACACACACACACACACCTGTGCAGTGCGGAGGTTCTGGGGATCCGGGGTGTGCATGCCAGGGCGGACCGGCAGCTTTCCCATCCCCTGTGAACTGTGGATGGGGGACGGCTGCACCGAAGAGGTGGTATTCTGGACCACAGGTACCTGGATTGGTTGTAATAGAATAGTACAATAGAATAGAGAACATTATACAGATGATACACAACAATTGGTGCAATGTATATAAGTTATGATACAATATATAAATAGTAGGGTCAGGTCTGGCAGAAGAATGTGGCACACACAAGGTCACACACACACACACACTCTCTCTTTCAAACAGAGACACAGATCGCACACAATAACGTCACTGATACACTATAACAGATCTCTGCTATTTTACTCCTGCTCTGACATTGAGCTGTTTAGTCTGTGTGTCAGCACAGTCTCATTACTACCTCAAACAGGGGCCTTAGGTAACACTGCTACATGCTGGGCCATTCACATTTACCGTAATTTCCGCACTATAAGGCGCACCGGAGTATAAGCCGCAGCAGCTAAATTGAATGATATTGAATGATGTGTACATATATAAGCCGCACTGGACTATAAGCCGCAGGTGTTTTAATGTTTAATTACCATATGTAAGGGTTCGTGCACAGAGGGGATTGTCGGGAAAGAGACAAACTGTCTCGCTCTCGTAATGTCTGTCTGTCTTGCTCTCGTTCTGTCTCTCGTTCTGTCTCTCGTACCACTCTCGGTTCCACTTTTACTTTTGCGCGCTACCTGTCTCACTCTTTTCCGGCCTCCAGCTTTTCCTGCTGGAGCCCGCCGCTTAAAGGTGGAGGGCGCGGACCGGTCATAGAGCCCATAGAGTTAAAGTTGGTGGACTGTAACCTGTAAAATCCATAGATTTAGGAGGTCTTCTAGTGGCCATTAGCTGTAAAAATCCATAGATTAGCCGCACCGTTATATAAGCCGCAGGATCGAAAAATGGGAAAAAAGGCGCGGCTTATAGTCCGAAAATTACGGTACACTGTGAGTAGAGGTTGTACTAGTATCAGGCTGTTTAGGTGGCTATACAGTCAAGCAAGAGTGACATTAGCCTGTATTTTGTGGGATACAATAGCCATTATAATATTTGATGCCGATTTGAGTGAGAATTCATCCCGGATTTAGATTTTTGTTACCAGTTGATTATCCAATGTAAAGTGAGGTAGTTGGCTAAGGAATTCAAACACCAGTATATTGTCACATACTAGGGTGCTGGGTCTCATTTGACATTTTCTATAACGATATTTCAATCTCTGAATTGGAAATGAAATATGGAATGGTAATGGTGTCAACGCTGATACTAACCTTCTGCACGACGTTCTCCTTCTGGATCTGGCTCTGCCGAAGCTTCTTGAGCAGCACCAGACGGGCCTCCTCCAGACGCAGCTCTTCCCGCAGAGCCTTGATCATCTGCTGCCGCTCTTCGCCATTCTTCCCCTAGAACGCATACGTTACACACTCACACGTTTATGGATAGGACAGTGAAGGGCTGACAGGAAAAATTGGAGGAGTGTGAGTATGAAGGGCAGTTGGTCAGATTTTAACCCACACCAACTATGGTCTACTTGAGTGCCAGGGTCAGCGGCTCTAACCGCTAGACCACACAGGCCAAGTGGTGACAACGTACCTTGAAGATCTCCAGGTTGGCCTGGTGCAGCCTCTCCCCGGGGTAGGGCGTCCCCCTGGGACTGGATGCCTCGTTGTCCGACAGGATGATCACGTCTGGGGACGGAGTGTGTCGCTCACGGTCCACATCGCTGGATATGGGAGAGAACGGGATCAGAGATGAATGACGACTAACAGAGGATGAATGGTGTACTCTGTCTAGCACTACATCCACATCTTCTGAACAACTCATTTCAATCCGCAATTGTCCATCCATCACCTGTCCTACGTCCATTCTAATCATGATTCTTACCCTCTTCTGGCGCTGAAGTCCACTGGTTCGTCCACCATGTTCTCCTTGCCATTCTTACTGGGGCCTCCATGGCCCCCCAGCCTCCCCAGGCTCCCGTTAATCTTCTCCTCGTAGGCCGCCGCTGCGCCCGCCAGCATACTCTGGTGGTGGTGGCTCCCCCCCGGCCCCCCTTTGCTGCCGTCCAGGGACCCGGCCGCCACCGCCGCCGCCCCTTCCAACGCGGCCAGGTCCTTGCGCTTGAGCAAGGCCAGCATCTTGAGGCGCTCCATAGCCTCGTGGCCCTCCATCTTGAGGCGCTTGGCCAGGGCTTCTTCACGCTCCTCGGACGTCTCCAGGCCCCGCTTGAGCAAGTTCAGCCTCAGCACCTCCTCAGACATCCGCTCCATCCTGGAAACAAAGGAAGGGAGGAACGTGATGTTCAATTCAATGTAATTTAATTCAATTCAACAAGATATTTTAAAGCATTTCACAGATACAGTGGGGGAAAAAAGTATTTAGTCAGCCACCAATTGTGCATGTTCTCCCACTTAAAAAGATGAGAGGCCTGTAATTTTCATCATAGGTACACGTCAACTATGAAAGACAAATTGAGAATTTTCTTCCCAGAAAATCACATTGTAGAATTTTTTATGAATTTATTTGCAAATTATGGTGGAAAATAAGTATTTGGTCACCTACAAACAAGCAAGATTTCTGGCTCTCACAGACCTGTAACTTCTTCTTTAAGAGGCTCCTCTGTCCTCCACACGTTACCTGTATTAATGGCACCTGTTTGAACTTGTTATCAGTATAAAAGACACCTGTCCACAACCTCAAACAGTCACACTCCTAACTCCACTATGGCCAAGACCAAAGAGCTGTCAAAGGACACCAGAAACAAAATTGTAGACCTGCACCAGGCTGGGAAGACTGAATCTGCAATATGTAAGCAGCTTGGTTTGAAGAAATCAACAGTGGGAGCAATTATTAGGAAATGGAAGACATACAAGACCACTGATAATCTCCCTCGATCTGGGGCTCCACGCAAGATCTCACCCCGTGGGGTCAAAATGATCACAAGAACGGTGAGCAAAAATCCCAGAACCACACGGGGGGACCTAGTGAATGACCTGCAGAGAGCTGGGACCAAAGTAACAAAGCCTACCATCAGTAACACATTACGCCACCAGGGACTCAAATCCTGCAGTGCAAGACGTGTCCCCCTGCTTAAGCCAGTACATGTCCAGGCCCGTCTGAAGTTTGCTAGAGTGCATTTAGATGATCCAGAAGAGGATTGGGAGAATGTCATATGGTCAGATGAAACCAAAATAGCACTTTTTGGTAAAAACTCAACTTGTCGTGTTTGGAGGACAAAGAATGCTGAGTTGCATCCAAAGAACACCATACCTACTGTGAAGCATGGGGGTGGAAACATCATGCTTTGGGGCTGTTTTTCTGCAAAGGGACCAGGACGACTGATCCGTGTAAAGGAAAGAATGAATGGGGCCATGTATCGTGAGATTTTGAGTGAAAACCTCCTTCCATCAGCAAGGGCATTGAAGATGAAACGTGGCTGGGTCTTTCAGCATGACAATGATCCCAAACACACCGCCCGGGCAACGAAGGAGTGGCTTCGTAAGAAGCATTTCAAGGTCCTGGAGTGGCCTAGCCAGTCTCCAGATCTCAACCCCATAGAAAATCTTTGGAGGGAGTTGAAAGTCCGTGTTGCCCAGCGACAGCCCCAAAACATCACTGCTCTAGAGGAGATCTGCATGGAGGAATGGGCCAAAATACCAGCAACAGTGTGTTAAAACCTTGTGAAGACTTACAGAAAACATTTGACCTGTGTCATTGCCAACAAAGGGTATATAACAAAGTATTGAGAAACTTTTGTTATTGACCAAATACTTATTTTCCACCATAATTTGCAAATAAATTCATTAAAAATCCTACAATGTGATTTTCTGGAGAAAAAAAATCTTCTCATTTTGTCTGTCATAGTTGACGTGTACCTATGATGAAAATTACAGGCCTCTCTCATCTTTTTAAGTGGGAGAACTTGCACAATTGGTGGCTGACTAAATACTTTTTTTCCCCACTGTACTTATGAACCATGTTTGAGAGTGAGCCTATGTGAAAATAACACATCAAAACGAACAGTCTTGAAAATAGGGGCTTTATTGTTCTTTCCGTGTGCGTGCGTGCGTGTAAAAATGAGAGCGTGGGATTGCTCGTTTCCTGACCGCCCACTGACTAACTACCCAATCAGGTGACTCCCTGACAGCATCGAATTAACTAATTACACAAGCATTACATTTAGATGATACCAGTCATATTCACCGCTTGATAGCACTAATATTCACCCCTTAAAGTCAACATGGTTATTAACAAAAAAAAAGGGATGTTTGAGTCTTTCAAAATAGTATATATATATATATATATATATATATATATATATATATATATATATATATATATATATATATATATATATATATATATATATACACATATACACAGTGGGGAGAACAAGTAATTGATACACTGCCGAGGTTTTCCCACTTACAAAGCATGTAGAGGTCTGTAATTTTTATCATAGGTACACTTCAACTGTGAGAGACGGAATCTAAAACAAAAATCCAAAAAATCACATTGTATGATTTTTAAGTAATTAATTTGCATTTTATTGCATGACATAAGTATTTGATACATCAGAAAAGCAGAACTTAATATTTGGTACAGAAACCTTTGTTTGCAATTACATAGATCATACGTTTCCTGTAGGTCTTGACCAGGTTTGCACACACTGCAGCAGGGATTTTGGCCCACTCCTCCATATAGACCTTCTCCAGATCCTTCAGGTTTCGGGGCTGTCGCTGGGCAATACGGACTTCCAGCTCCCTCCAAAGATTTTCTATTGGGTTCAGGTCTGGAGACTGGCTAGGCCACTCCAGGACCTTGTGTGTTTCGGGTCGTTGTAATGCTGGAAGACCCAGCCACGACCAATCTTCAATGCTCTTACTGAGGGAAGGAGGTTGTTGGCCAAGATCTTGCGATACATGGCCCCATCCATCCTCCCCTCAATACGGTCCTGTCCCCTTTGCAGAAAAGCATCCCCAAAGAATGATGTTTCCACCTCCATGCTTCACGGTTGGGATGGTGTTCTTGGGGTTGTACTCATCCTTCTTCTTCCTCCAAACACGGCGAGTGGAGTTTAGACCAAAAAGCTCTATTTTTGTCTCATCAGACCACATGACCTTCTCCCATTCCTCCTCTGGATCATCCAGATGGTCATTGGCAAACTTCAGACGGGACATGCGCTGGCTTGAGCAGGGGGACCTTGCGTGCGCTGCAGGATTTTAATCCATGACGGCGTAGTGTGTTACTAATGGTTTTCTTTGAGACTGTGGTCCCAGCTCTCTTCAGGTCATTGACCAGGTCCTGCCGTGTAGTTCTGGGCTGATCCCTCACCTTCCTCATGATCACTGATGCCCCACGAGGTGAGATCTTGCATGGAGCCCCAGACCGAGGGTGACTGACAGTCATCTTGAACTTCTTCCATTTTCTAATAATTGCGCCAACAGTTGTTGCCTTCTCACCAAGCTGCTTGCCTATTGTCCTGTAGCCCATCCCAGCCTTGTGCAGGTCTACAATTTTTATCCCTGATGTCCTTACACAGCTCTCTGGTCTTGGCCATTGTGGAGAGGTTGGAGTCTGTTTGATTGAGTGTGTGGACAGGTGTCTTTCATACAGGTAACGAGTTCAAACAGGTGCAGTTAATACAGGTAATGAGTGGAGAACAGGAGGGCTTCTTAAAGAAAAACTAACAGGTCTGTGAGAGCCGGAATTCTTACTGGTTGGTAGGTGATCAAATACTTATGTCATGCAATAAAATGCAAATGAATTACTTAAAAATCATACAATGTGATTTTCTGGATTTTTTGTTTTAGATTCCGTCTCTCACAGTTGAAGTGTACCTATGATAAAAATTACAGACCTCTACATGCTTTGTAAGTAGAGAAACCTGCAAAATCGGCAGTGTATCAAATACTTGTTCTCCCCACTGTGTGTGTGTGTATATATATATATATATATATATATATATATATATATATATATATATATATATATATATATATATATATATATATATATACACACACACACACACACACACACACAGTGAGGGAAAAAAGTATTTGATCCCCTGCTGATTTTGTACGTTTGCCCACTGACAAAGAAATGATCAGTCTATAATTTTAATGGTAGGTTTATTTGAACAGTGAGAGACAGATAACAAAAAAAATACGTACGTCAAAAATTTTATAAATTGATTTGCATTTTAATGAGGGAAATAAGTATTTGACCCCTCTGCAAAACATGACTTAGTACTTGGTGGCAAAACCCTTGTTGGCAATCACAGAGGTCAGACATTTCTTGTAGTTGGCCACCAGGTTTGCAAACATCTCAGGAGGGATTTTGTCCCACTCCTCTTTGCAGATCTTCTCCAAGTCATTAAGGTTTTGAGCCTGACGTTTGGCAACTCTAACCTTCAGCTCCCTCCACATATTTTCTTTGGGATTAAGGTCTGGAGATTGGCTAGGCCACTCCAGGACCTTAATGTGCTTCTTCTTGAGCCAGTCCTTTGTTGCCTTGGCCGTGTGTTTTGGGTCATTGTCATGCTGGAATACCCATCCAGGACCCATTTTCAATGCCCTGGCTGAGGGAAGGAGGTTCTCACCCAAGATTTGACGGTACATGGCCCCGTCCATCGTTCCTTTGATGCGGTGAAGTTGTCCTGTCCCCTTAGCAGAAAAACACCCCCAAAGCATAATGTTTCCACCTCCATGTTTGACGGTGGGGATGGTGTTCTTGGGGTCATAGGCAGCATTCCTCCTCCTCCAAACACGGCGAGTTGAGTTGATGCCAAAGAGCTCGATTTTGGTCTCATCTGACCACAACACTTTCACCCAGTTCTCCTCTGAATCATTCAGATGTTCATTGGCAAATTTCAGACGGCCCTGTATATGTGCTTTCTTGAGCAGGGGGATCTTGCGGGCGCTGCAGGATTTCAGTCCTTCACGGCGTAGTGTGTTACCAATAGTTTTCTTGGTGACTATGGTCCCAGCTGCCTTGAGATCATTGACAAGATCCTCCCGTGTAGTTCTGGGCTGATTCCTCACCGTTCTCATGATCATTGCAACTCCACGAGGTGAGATCTTGCATGGAGCCCCAGGCTGAGGGAGATTGACAGTTATTTTGTGTTTCTTCCATTTGCGAATAATCGCACCAACTGTTGTCACCTTCTCACCAAGCTGCTTGGCGGTGGTCTTGTAGCCCAATCCAGCCTTGTGTAGGTCTACAATCTTGTCCCTGACATCCTTGGAGAGCTCTTTGGTCTTGGCCATGGT